AATTGCTAAGCCTTTCAAATTGATGGGCCTGGCTATCATCATGTATGAGTCTCAACCGTACAAGTGAGCCCTCAGGTTTAATCAAACTTTTTTTTTTTTTTTTTTTTTAAAGTGTAGCTTCCATGAAAATCAACCCAGTCTCCCTGGCATTTGTGTGTCGAGAAGCTCTCCATCTTTTCGTTCTCCTCGAGTGGTCGATACATTAAAACTTGAACTGATTGATTTCAGAATGCCGTGCCATCAGTGTCCTTACGCAGCCGTTAACTACATCTGAAGTATCTTTAGTCATCAGGCTTTAGGCCAGGGATTGATAATAGCTTGACCGGCAAGGCCTATCTTACCCATCCTTTTTCAGGAGGTCTTGTATTTAGCACCCAGAGCACTTGTGGCAAATCTCAAACAGCACAAGTGTATTCACAGAGCGGCTGAGTGGAAAGCTTTCCCTCATTCGTCTGAACCTCATGAATACATTCCAACTCTAACTAACTACTTTGCCTTAATGTGGAATTTCAAACGAGCTCTGAGGCCAATTTATTTATTTGTATTCTTTGCGTCTTAGCGATACTCTTGAAACACAGTGATGGCAGGGAGGATAATCTCTGTCTTTCATCAGCAAAGTGGCCCCGCACAAAACCCATCAGTAATGTATTCGCTATTGATTGATGGTCGCTCCTGCACTACTAGGCAACACCATTATTATCATGCATAGATTCCAGGCTGCCCACAATAAAATCATTGTCCTGATTTAAGTTACCCCCCCCCCAAAAAAAAGGTGTCATAATAGCACAACTGGTGTTTGCCTCGTATTGCTTTCTTCCTCAACAATTACTGGCATTCCCTGTCATCATCTCTACACCAGCCAGATACTCTTATGACTGTTTATACAGGAGAGGACGTTTTCTATGCAGGGATATGTTTCCAGTGTACGTGCAACAGGTGGAAAGAGATTTGCTGAAGAGAATCAAGAGGCGTTTGTGAAAATAATTCTAAATATAAAAAAACAAAATGAGGGATGGAGCAGTTATTTTCTGTTTGAGCAGCTGTGTTTAAGGCAGATGGCGGAAAATCAAGCTGATGGACAAGGAGAAGTTGTCATGTTTTCACTCATGTCCCATAATAATTATAGTTAAACCTGTAGCCTGTTATTTTCAGCCATAGTGTCACACAATGTTTTAATTATATATGCCTATACATATTACTATATATTGATTTTAGCTCATAAAGGCGTTGACTTCAGATTATCCAGTTTTAAATTAGTAAGTTAAATAAGTAAGTAAGTTACTACAAGATTCAACTGTGCATTAGGTTTAATAGTTTTTAGTCAATCGTTAATATTATTAATATTATTATTGTTATTAAAAATTAGATGTTACACCGTGCAATAGATTTTAGTACTAATATCCTAAACCAGACATGTAAAATATTTAATGATTATGTGTGTGTGTGTCTGTGTGTGTGTGTGTGTGTGTGTGTCTGTGTGTGTGTGTGGCATTTAGACAGTATATGTGTGTATATAGATATATCTACACACATATATACATGCATGAATATATGCAATTATTTTTATGATAATATTATATTATTATTATTATTATTGGTGTTTTTTCCACTAATGTAGATTATTTTTACGCCTAGTTAATGTAACACTGAGCACTGAGGTATTTATTTTCTTTCTGACTATGCGTTACTAATGATTATCGTCTGTGGCCTCGGCTCACACAGTTGCGGGTGTTTTCAGTGTCGACACATGGATCTATGTGGCAAACATTATGTGTTAGTAGTCTGCCTCAAGGGAGATGCCCGGGTCCCGAATCATTGTGAATTACTGTGACCTTGGTTATCAATCATTGTATCAGGGTATCTAATGTAAACGCAACCGTGGCGTGGATAACATGCCACATCTGCTCTTTGGACAGCGCTGCTTCTTGGTTACCAAGCGATTTATTAGAGAGCCCTGTGTGAGGAATAATAGGTCGCAGTCTAAAGATCAACCAGCAGCCCTTCCATAGGCGCACAATTATCTCTTAAACTGGCTGTTGTAACATTAGCATTCACCTACATTATACAGCAGATAGTTTGGTGTCTCAAAAGCATCCCAAAGAGAGAGAACTAGTTGTGCGGTTTAAAAGCAGCGTCCACAGGGAGCTGTGTTTGCGCTCAAGACCAATTTATTGCCGATGAACATATGGCCAATATTTTGTCTCACGTCATAGCAAGGGGAAAACAAACACCAAGCAATGTGAGCGAGTCAGCAAGAGCAGAGCCACTTGGCCAGCTATGCAAACGCTCTTGGACAATATGAGAAGAGGAGCACTTGCTTTCTGGGTATATAAACCACATCAGGCTTATCTCTGCACGCACTCCTGACTCCCATTTGGAGATATTTCATTAACTCTGCGCGCTGTCTTAACGCTGGCAACACATTCAGCCCCCCTCCAGTCTAGGTAAGCGCACTGGATGCTCCAGTCAGTTTGCATACAGTATTTTTCTGTTTTTACAGCCTAATAGACACTGCTTATTTCCTTTTTGCTGCTATTTTATGCGCATCAGCGCGCATCTTAGTCCTTGAGTCCATATGACTCTGATCTTTAACTCTGCTTTAAATAGGTTGCTTATTCGGGGTGTAGGCCTGTGTGTGTGGGGTGGGCATTCTGTGCTTGGCTGAACATGACTGTTGTGACGGTACACTGTGAGAGGGGCCTGCACCTGCATGCAGGAGAATCAATGCCTGAACATTAATTGGAAATATGTAAAAGCTGAATTCTTCACTATATTTAATCCGAAAATTCCCCTGGCTTCTCCAACAGCCAACAGCAAATCAGACATTATAGATAATACACAACTCAATCCATAAATGGTGCGCTCCTAGGTTTACACCATGCAGCCATACCTAATTTACTGAAGAACATCTGTGTGTCTTGATGTGAGATGGACGTTAGGGTGAATTTAACATGACTTCTTAAAACAGTCCTTATATCATAACATGTGTCTGACCCCACTATTTATAATGTTATTAGCTAAGTTGTCTAATTGGGTGCAAACAATAAGACACCCCCTGTTGTTTCTTAAATGTGCCGGTAGAGACCGCTAGAGCTCTACAGATGTCAACAGCTGTTAATGTTATTACTGCACTCACACACACAGGCTGCCTAACAAGGAGGACAAGTTGTCTGTACTTGTGCCATCTAGAGCGGGGCAGATCAGGTTCTCGTGGAGAGGGTGATTTATTTATTTATTTATATATCCAAATGTCCTACACATTTGCAAATAATAGTTGTCCCTTTTGATTTATTTGAAGTCTCAAGCCATTTCCCCCTGCTCCCCGCCAGTGTCTGTGCGATACTGAAATGGGAAGTGATTAAAAAATAATAAACCCCTTTTTAGCAATTCGTCTTACATAGGAAAAGATTAAGGCGAACGGCACAGCGTGGCATAAAATTCACCGTAACAAATAAACTGGTGGTTTAACAAATGAAGGCATCTCCTCGGGGCATGGCGCACTGCTATAATCTCGCCGTGACATGTTTAATCATTAGAGGAAAGGAGACGAATAAAGACTTTTGCCCGAGAGGGAAAGGTGGCTGAATTTCTGTGAAAAAAAAAAAAAAAAAATCGGGCTCCAAAATGATTTCCACCCTGAGGCAAAGTCTCCCCAGGCCATGGCTTAGCCCCCATAATAAATAAACCGGACCCGCTTTACCTGCATATTATATATAGGCTTTTAATCATAGAGGGAGGAAATCGGTCTTGTCACTCTGTACATTTATCATGGGCACCCTGAGGCAGGCGGGGTTACCTTTATCAAAGACTAACTCCCTGCCTGAGGCATCCAAACACGCTGAAATTCAGCGATTAAAGGAGGGAATGATCAACATTATTATGGATTCTCCTGCGGCATTCTTATTTGTGCATTCAATCGAAAGATTTATTTAATCAAGAATATAAAAAGCTCTTTCTTCACTTATTTGGGAACAATCGTGGGCATGAATTTTTAGGAGGGAATTATAATTAATCAGACGGGGCCCGTTTTTTGGGGTTCATCCGAAAAATTAATTGTTTTTGGATGAGTCCATTCTGCTGTACGTTTGATTGCAAAGCGGGGATCAGAAAAATGTAACGAGCTTTAATAATGAGCCAGTCAGCTCTGTTGCTTATAATATTAAAATGGGAGCACTGGCGAAAGTGGTGATAGCATAATTATAGCAGCAATGATCACATAAAAAGGTTAGTCTTGTGGATGCTGTGCACTGGTGCAGTTTTAAACACAAGTCAAAAGAAATACCCAATGAGAAATACTATTACAATGCATCGTTCTGGTGTCAGATCTGGAGATTTAGTGTCAGCTGAACTCAAATAAGCGGGTGATGGGAAGCACCAGCCCTGCGCCCCGCATTGTCCTTTAAATCCTGATGCATCTGCAGCTCAGAGGCCCTTCTTTACTACATCTTCTCTCTGGTTTAACACCCCCCAAGACACACACACATTTCACAACAGACACACACACACACACAGTCCTAACTGGGGATTGAGGATGATTTACCCACGGAGAGGGAACAGCAGTGGTGTCCAAACTTTTAAGTTTGTTTAAAACGGGATATTTAATTTTTACGACTTAATAATGACAAAAACAAGACAAATAAAGAGCTGATAATGACAAAAACAACGGAAATTGCATCAATAATAATAACAATAATAATTATCTCCACCCAGGAAGAAAAAAAATCAAAAAATATGGCACATATTTTTGGACTGAATTAATTTCGCATAAGTGTACATAATTGCAGCCTGAAAGCATCCTGAGCAGATCCACTGGACTGTGAACATTTTCCGGTGTTGGTCCCGTTAACTCGTCCTGCTCTGTATAAAACAGCCTGCACACTGGCCACTGTCAGAGCGAAAAGGCAAGCGGCCTGTTTGAACTACCTGTGAAAGTAAACAGGTAAACACAGAGCGATAGGCTCTCCAAGTGGAGTACGTCCACTTAGCCTGTGCACATTTACCTCTTCTTGCCGAAACCCTCGGCTCAATTGATCAAATAGTACATCCCCAGCAACTGGCCACAGTCTGCAGCCCAGTGCGCTCCCATGCACCGTCACCAAACCTACTGTGACTTCCCCCTTGTCACCGTGCCACACACAGCCAAAGCAAAGCAGAATGGCAAGGGTGATAAGCCTGTGTGCTCTAACACACCCTGATTGGGCTCCACACACTTTTGAGGTACTAAATAAGTCTCACTGAAATAATGTCCTGCATGGGCCAAGTGAGTTTCCCGATCAGATGCGCATAGAGGCTACAGCCTGGGCCATTCCTCCGTGGTGCGCAAAGCTCTCTGGGTGTCTGCTGTGGGCTGGATGTCCCTTCACATGTCGGATTTAGCTGTGCAGCATTACTTGGTGGATCAGGTCAGTAACCTCTCTCTCCCTTATAGAGGCTCAGGCGCAGCTCCAGTTTGTCCATATAGCCCAGTTGAGCTCAATGGAGCCTTTGTGGGATGTTGAGACTTGTGATTAATTCTGCCAGTCTGGTGAAATATTTACCTCAGGCCTGTATGTCAGGTGTACTCTTACATGGAGCAGAAACCTTAGAAGCTGTGCTCAAGAGATGGTATGTAAATAATATAATGCTAATATTGGTTATTATGTAATAATTGACATGTAATAATATATAATATAACATTTTATTTGTACATTAATATCTAATCTAAGTATACATCTATAATAATAATAATAATAATAATAATAATAATAATAATAATAATAGCAATAATAATAATAATAATAGCAATAATGTGCTACAATTAATTCAATCAATATAATTCAATAATCTGTGAAACTAAAAGAAACTAAAAGACACTACACAATATGCCTGGCTTCCCTTCGAAAAGGAGACAGACTACTGTGTAGGTTGTGTGTGTGTATATGTGTGTGTGTGTGTGTGTGTGTGTGTGTGTGTGTGTGTGTGTGTGTGTGTGTGTGTGATGTGTCTGTGTGCGTGTGTGTACTGAGATGAAGGACTTTCCTTAATATTGTGGAAGGATCCAGGAATTGAATGAAGAGATAGTCCATTGAAAGCAGTTGAATGCCATGACAACTAGGAACAACCTCAGATTTATTCCAAACAGTTAGAAAGCATTGTGCACGGGGCGTCAATCATCTATTATTTCGCCCCTGAAATAAATGCAAAAACTGCGGCCGGACAAAAGCTTCCAACAGGACCCGGACATTTGTCTACATTTCCCCCATTGTCTGCAGCTTAGCAATCGGTTTGTATTTGTGTTTGCCCGGGTCCGACCACCCAGGATGCGCAGAGGACTTGCTAAAAAACGTGAAACATTGTCACCCACATCACATACTGGATAGGAGGCAGAGGGAGGAGAACGAAAGGGAAAGTCTTGAAGGGGAGGAAAATAAAGTAACCAACAATGATACTCGGATCTCCACAGAAAAAAAAGCAAGATGGAGCACTTTAAAGGGGGCTCTACACAAGCAGAAAACAAATATTAGGATTTGATGCCATGATGAAACTAAAGAGATTTATTGAGAAAAAATGCAAAATAAAATGTTTAATTTATAACAGTATAATTGCATGATAAAGTATACAGGACATGTATACATAAACTAATAAAAAAAAACAGATTTAGGCCTCTATTGTTTTATATTGTGAGCCTGGACAGATACGCTATTAGACAGGGGTTGTTAATATTATTATGATTATTATTATTATTATTGGTAATTTTATTATCATTATTATTATTAATTGTGTTATTATTATTACTGCTATTGTTATTGTTGGTTTTATAGTCTCCATTATCAGTATCACATTTGGATAGGCCTAATGTCTTAAATACTTGCTTAGCGTTTTCAAACAAACAGAGTCCTGCTTCAGTTTCAACACAGCCTCTTGTCCTTAAGCCATGGCAAAAATATTGACACAAAAGGTTTACATAAATTATCCCCGAATATTTGAACAATAGACGCTCTTCCTCGTGGTTCCCATTCCTAAAAACAAAGAATAACTTTGTGCACCGAACCCCAAAATGTGTTTTTTTTTTTTTTTTTTGTATGAATATATTTGTGAGGAAAGCAAAAAAGCAAAAGCTTCAGTGGGAGCAATTTGTTAAAACGGGCTTTTTAAGTATTGTGAGTATAAAGCTACTTGGAGGTTCTTTGTATGTAAATAGGGTGTAAAAAAGGCCCTCCCCGTCTTTGTAATTAATTGACACGTTATACCACTCATCATGCTCTGAAGCACCAATGGTAGAGGCTCGGATCTCCCCAAAACCCACAATTTCACATCTGCAAACACTGTCTTCATCCACTTGACTCCTAAGACCCGCCCACACGTGGCCAACCTTTCGCGTTTTTTAATGCTTTTTCACTGCAGGTTCATGTGTTGAGACCAACCTTATATGGACTGATCGGACAAGGTAATGGCTTATTTCCCTCTAGCACCCAGCAGTAGCACAGTATCCATGAGCCACATATAGCACTTCAGCCACTTTGGCATTCTTCCTGGACTTACAGACACTGAATCCACTGCTACTTGCTTAGGCAATGGTTATCCACAGTGGCTGCTTTGACTGTACTTCAGCGTAGAGCGACTCTTAGGCTACTCATCCTATTTTTCCTGAAACATCGCCTCTGCTTTCTTTTTCTTTTTTCTTTTTTTTTTGTTTCAAAACAGCGGATTGTCCGAGAAGCTGGTGCAGCAACTTTTCCCTGCATATTCCCCCCCCACCAGAATATGTCGTTGACCAACACAAAGACGGGCTTTTCTGTAAAGGACATTTTGGACCTTCCTGACACAAATGACGAAGAAGGATCTATCACCGGAGCGGAGGAAGACACGGAGGGATCGGAGACCACGTCCACGACAAAAAACACTGGAGTTTTGGTGCAAAGTCCTCTTGAAAACGTTCAAAATCTGCCTTTAAAGAACCCCTTTTATGACAGTAGTGACAATCCTTACACACGATGGCTTGCTACTACGGACAGTATTCAATATTCATGTAAGTAGAGTCTAAGAATCATTCTAGATCTTGCTGATAATGACTTATGTGATATTTCCAAGCTATGCGGTTACATTAAGCCATAATTGATGACATGCAGCCTCCTTTTCCACCCTAACGATGCCCTTGGGTGGCGTGCAGCATTCATTTTTTATGCACCGTGCTCGTCTTGAGGCGTTTGCAGCTCAGTAAATGCATGCAGTGTTTTAAGCTCAGCGCACTGTGCATTGTTAAGAATTTGATCGATAAAGCACCGCGGATAAACACGGAGGCTGTGAGTTATTCAGAGTATAAGCACGGTGTGAAAAATAAGACAGCATTCTGTGGGGCAGACAATGCACCTTTTAATGCTTTACTGAGTCGCTCTGCTTGTGCACATTTGGGGCTGAAGTATTTTTATTTGGTGCTCTCCACTTCAAAATCACGCCTGAAAGTTCAAATTAGACAAAAGTTCCTGGTGTTTTATTGCTTATGTCTTTAAAAAATATGACATATCTTGTATATCTCTGAGTAACTGACAGGTGCTCAGTCATTAACAGGTTATTTTTCCTGTTACGCAGCAGCTCAATTAATTACCAAATGCATCTAAACTTTTGATTGATGATGGCTTGAGCTTTTTTTTTTTTTTTTTTTTTTTATAAATGTCTCTAAGAACTTTACAACATAACATTTTGACAGTGTTTCTCCCGTTTCTTGCCGCAGTGCACGGCCTATCCGCCAGCTCTCAGGACTCGGCCAAGTCCCCGGAGCCGTCCGCGGACGACGAATCGCCGGACAACGACAAGGAGACCTCCAGCAGCGGCGGCAGCGACTCCGGCAAGAAGCGGAAAAGGAGGGTGTTGTTTTCCAAGGCGCAGACCTACGAGCTGGAGCGCCGCTTCAGGCAGCAGAGGTATCTGTCCGCCCCGGAGAGGGAGCACCTGGCCAGCCTGATCCGCCTCACCCCGACCCAAGTGAAGATCTGGTTCCAGAACCACCGGTATAAGATGAAGAGAGCCCGGGCCGAGAAAGGTATGGAAGTGACCCATCTCCCTTCTCCCAGGCGGGTGGCCGTGCCCGTCTTAGTCAGGGATGGAAAGCCTTGTCACACTCTTAAAGCTCAGGACTTGGCGGCCACTTTTCAGGCCGGGATCCCCTTCTCGGCTTATAGTGCCCAGTCACTCCAACACATGCAGTATAACGCGCAGTACAGCGCCGCGGCCACGCCACAGTTCCCCACAGCACATCACTTGGTGCAAACGCAACAGTGGACTTGGTGAGAGAAATTATAGAGACTTGGCTTCGAGGCACGATAGGGAGTTTCACCACAAAGCAAAGAAAAAAAAATAAAACACAAAAACAAAAGACTTTTCATTTTTGCAGCTTGACTCATATATATACTACCATTTTTATTCGGGGCTCATGTGTGCGCCGTGTTTACATGTTTTCGTTAAGAGAACTGGGTCCAAACCTCTCCCTTATAGATTTTATTAAGAATGTCAATGCTCTTCTTGTGAAATTTTTGTAAAGTATGTTGTGTGTTGGTTGTAGAGATGTTTTCCTCTTTTTTTTTTCCTTTTGTCCCTTCGTGTTATTATCAGCACGTACAAACCACTTTATAATTATAGAAATTTTAATTTCTTGCTTCTTTTATGGACCGAAAAAATATTTATGGCCATGAATAAACACTGGCAACTTTTCAGCTATTTTCCTTTTGTTTTTATTTCCTGTAAATATTTTGTGGCACATGTTTGCAAAACCTAGAGAGTTTTCGGGGGCGTAAAGCTGAAGATCGGCCTATATATATATATATATTTACAAATTAAATTAAAAATGAGGGAGTGATTTTTGGCAAAACGTTATGACTGCCGTGTCATGTAAATAACAGTGCAGCCGCGCGTTGATGACTAAATATCAAATTTTTTCCAAATTTTTTAAATAAGGCTTTTAAAATAAAATGCTGTGTTTCTGAAATAAGGGTTTGGTTTATATAAGTGTCCTATTTGATTTGATCATCTTTGAAAAGGCATCGCTAAACATCATAATGAAGTCGGGGAGCCAAACACTACATTGTGGCACAGAATGGAGCTTGACTCTGGGAATAAATCTCCAGCGCACTTCAGTCCTTTCTTTCTAAGCAAATTTAATCCGGAGAATATTTTCTTCTGAATCCGAACACCTCACTAATAAAGAGCCTAAAGTCACTTGTGAAACGGGACTAAAATCCACTCACTTAATATAAGAGGGCTTCTCCACATAAGAAGCTTTTGAGTCAAAAGCTCTCCTTTTTGTCAGCATCCCCAACCACTCCCAGCCTTGGGTGTAAAGTGGTAGACCGTGGGGGGAAAAAATCGTTTAATGCAATAAATGTTTTGTTATCTTGTTAAGCGCTAAACTGCAAATAGAGCAGGAATAATCAATGAGTCGCTAGCCTTCTTTGTTTAACAGCGGTCAACTAAAATAGGCACGGCTTTGAGGGGCTTTAACCACCTAATAAAGCTATTTTTTATGTGATCACATAACGCGTTAGCAATGATATTCCGCATTAAAATATAGTTTGCCCTGTTAGTTTACCATGATCTTTAAGGTGGAACCAAAACAAGCACAAATGGCTCCCCAGAGCTCCGCAGCGCACTGCGGATTATCAGACTCCAGTCAATATCTTGGGTAAATATGATAACCTAGTAGAAAAATCTATGCATTTTGTTTGTCCCGGGACAAAAATCTTTCAACAGATGTTCGAGTCGCCCCTATCATCGCTGAACAAACAGCTAAATTGGGCAGATTTGCTAATTATTTACAGAATTGAGTCTCAAGGGGCTACTGCTTTTGTGGGCGACACAGACTCAATTTGTCCCTGACAGAAAGGTTTTGTGTCTCACCACTGGTTGAGCTTGTAGGTCAAATAAATCAGCAATTTCCTCGTAGTTTTCGTTTTTTTATGCCTTTGTCGATACACAAGAAACACACAGCGTTGCTTATAGCCGTGCCAATAATCGCTTATAGCGCAGTTATTATGGGGAATCGATGAGAGGAGAAATGTGATATGAGACGGGGATTTTTACAGTGTGCTGCAAAAGGCGGTGGTAAAGGATTGGCGGTGTGTGATTGGATTTTAATGAACTCTTGCTGCTATTCTGGCTTCTTTAAAATAAAACTTAACAAAATCTTTCTTTAAAAACAACACCAACATTTAAAACTTAATGAGGAGAAGAAGAAAAAAACGTCGAGGCTGTGTCTTGGCTCTTTGCCTCAGATTGTGTTTCTTTCTGATGAGGCAGTTTTGTGACTCTATCATTGCATAATACAGTAAACACCACACAACACAGAGACAAAAGCCCAGGCCTGGTTTTGCTGGATGTCAGAGGCGTGCATGTTAACGAGCAGCAGGAGTGGGGATGCAGACAGTGTAGATAGAGAGACTGACTGAGTTTCTTGGTGCTGTTCAGAGTCAGGGAGACGCATCCTTGGGCTTTTTGTCCTGCCTGTCACTTGGTGCCATTGTGATCTTTGCTGCACACGTTGTATCCCATATGGGCAGCTGGGCTCGGACAAGGAGAAAAGGATCTCTTACAAGCCCCAAATTGTATCAAGCTTTCAAATAAAGCATTGTTGTCTCTCAAAGAAAAACGAATTAAAAATTCGTGCTATATCTATTCTGGTCAAAAAAAGAAGCCCCATTCACAGATAACAGGGAGTCCTTCTTCCTTGATAGAGCTATGCCAACAACAGCCTTCTCATTTCTCTTTTCCCTCTCTCCCCCATTCTCCAAAGTGAAAGGCCGATTATTGTCTGTCCTCAAAAGTCTCTCGTCACAGCGCAAAAACTATTTTTAATACTGGACAGTGTTCTTCCTTGTTTGCTTTGAGTCCCGCTGGTATGCGTAGGCTAATTTCTAAAATAGACACATGGAAAAAAAAATAGTTCATCCATTTATTGATTTCCGGATCAGGTGTGAAACTGAGCCACTGTGCATGTTCTGCACCAATTAAAGATTTCACCAAATCTTTCCTAGATTTTACGCCAGCATGGTACTCTTCTATACCAAGGCGCCTTTCATGCTGGTACCAATTACAGAAACATGCAAATAGTACAAGTGATTCATCTAAGAGGTAAATGTTAAAGCTCCCACTTGCATTCTAATTTTATCTCGTGAATCCGATGATCTGGGAGTGATGCTGTGGGATGCAGATGTTTTTCCATGGGAACAAAAAGTGGGGATATTTGCAGGTGTTTAGTGGACAAATGCGCCAAGATCTACTGCCGTTGGAATTACCTTATGAAAAGGGCTTTTGTATTTCTAAATATCATATTTTATTGTACATTTATTTTTCTAGATTTTTTTTGCATCTCATTATATCTTTTATATTTAAAAAAAAAAAAAACCCGAATCTGGATCTTTGCTTCTTTTCTTTTCATATTTATTGCAGATTTAAAGGCATTTTTTAGCTCAATTCAAATGATTTATCCGTGCATCCTGGAATGCCCTGTTGTGTTTACCGCCAAAATAAAGCCAAAATAAAAACGTTAGCCGAGTAAACCCGTTTATGGTAAACTTTTACGGTGACCAATATTCGCTTTGCAGCCATGTTTTGTCATTAACGCACCAGAAAATTACACTACCCCTCCACCAGCTCAGCAACAGGGTCAGATTTATCGGAAATTGCTTTTGGCTGCTTGAAGGGATAAAGCAGGCGACATTAAAACAAGCATCTTGGCGTGCAGCATAGTTCAACCTGCGTGGATAACACTATTATATACCTGGGAATACAATACTTGAGGAAATATGCACTTGGGACACCATGGATCTTCGTCATCCTGCCCATTTGAACCTCGACATGAATCATTTTTCTATCATGCACATCGCCAAATAAACGAGGATTTCAAAGCTATAATAAGCGGTGCTTTTCATTTAAAGGAAGCTATCTGGGTTTTATTGCCTTAAAGGAGATCCAGATTAGATTCGCCACAGTGCCGATATTAAACAGAGAGAGAGAGTGATGGAGGGAGGGAGAGGCAGAGCAGGAATTGTTGCGCCGAGCTGCCACAAGATGGAAGCAGAGGTCTGCAGTAGGCGTCATGCAGCTTTTTTTTTTTTATACCTGCAAATGTCTAAACAGTCCAACTTCATCTAATTCCAGCACTACAAATTACTGCAACAAAATTATATTCCAACTGCTGGAATTAACGTGTTTTTCTCTTTTTTTTTTAAATGAGCAGACATCCCAGCAAACTTGACTGTCTTTTTAAGTGCATGATTGCGGTTTATGACATTGTTATGGATCTTGAGAGCATAATCATATCGCTCTTGAAAACAAACTAGACTCGATGTAAACAGTCCACAGGCAATTAGCAGTATCCATCCATTCCAAACTTAGAGAGAGAGAGAGAGAGAGAGAGAGAGAGAGAGAGAGAGAGAGAGAGAGAGAGAGAGAGAGAGAGACTGGGTATTTCCACGGTGTGGCGCAATTGGATAGGGGGACAAATATGGTACAGATTAATTCACTTCAGTGAAAGTGAACAATAGAGCTGAAGTGAGGTTTTCCAAGGAAAGTCTTAGCTCAATCAGTGTCCTTGACAACAAAGAAGACTTTGAGTCAAATGTCCTCGGCAATATGAAAAACTGAATCCTTATCACTGCTATTTCTATGTTAGAACTGATCAAAGACAGCTGTACCTTTTGTAAAAGGCATCACATCCAACAAAAACGACCACAAATATTCTCTTGGAGCACCCACGAACAAGGTCAACCAGAATATCTGTGGGGGCAAATGGCTCTCTTTAAAAACAAAATATTTCTTACTTATAATCACATCTAGAATCTACTAGCTTGTATTATTTTAAATGTCTATCACGTCCTGCAGTTGTGTAGACTTACTTTCCAGGCTGCAAAGTGCCTGAGAACCATCATCTCCTCATGCGGAGCAGAAGTATGCAAAGCACTGCAAAATGGGTCAAATGACAAAATAAAAGGCTACCATCTTTATGCACCTGCTCAGTTCAGCATCAGTGAGCTTGCGCCTGTAGGGGGCCTCATTGGGTTAGAAAGCTGCACCAGCGGGGGGTGGAGGGACGCTGAACATGATGGAGGAGGAGTGAGAAAGGAGGGAAAGAATTGCTTTAATCTGCAAGAGTTTTTACCACATTAATATGGCTGGTGTGTGAGGAGGAAAATACACAGAAAGAACAACACATCTGCACATTACAACAGCATCATAACCAGATAATAATATTTTAAATACTGGTCAAGGATTTTGTGTTTGGTTTAATGTATTTGTGGGGGAAAAAAGATAGAAATGGAAAAGTATCATCTCAAAAATCTCATTAAAATATCTCCAAATTAATCACCAGCCTGCTTTCTAGTTGCTGCTGACATCAGCAATGTGTGTGTATTTGTGCAGGTGGCAGGAGTTTATTAGGGTGCATATGGTGCTGTGTGAACCACAGCCAGTCCACACACAGCGAATCCACAAGTTTACTCAGTGGGACGGAGCATCTACAGAGCATTGTTCACATCAGCCTCCCATCTGCATGAGAAGAACCTGGTGAGCTGAGAGCTGACTGACACACACCAGCTATCTGTGGTTAAAGCAGGGAAGAAACAGAAGAGCTGCAGCTTGATGACAGTTCAAGGAAAAAGAGGAAGATACCCGCTGCGGCATCTTTGAGCATCTCCAACATCTGTCATGTTGTTTTTTATTTTGTTTAATAAAAACAGGATTCTTTTTTGTTACCTCCCCTTTGAATTGTATCCAATTCAGAAGCAAAGAATAGTCATTTATACTGTGAATGGTTAACAAAGATAAACTATAAAACAGTCTATGCCTGCAACAGGTTTTATTTCATGACAAATAAGTTAAATTCATAATCAGCATTGCACTGTGTTTTTTTCAAATGCATTCACAATTTCTAGATCTTCTTTCATATATGTAATTTATGGAATAATTGCTCACTAATAAATCCCCTCTATCTCTGTCGAGAAAATTTACAAAACAAAATCTTGATGCTCATTTGGCAGTTGAATTTAATTTAGTGGGTAAATATAAGAAGACAAAATTTAGTGTGTAAAATTGAAAGGGGGAGAATAACAGTCAGTAAAGCTATGATCATAAAACTATTGTGTCATGCAGTGTTTTATATATACCTCATATTTTACATCTGTATGACATGTATCATTTGAATCATTTGCATGTATCCAGTAAATAAACATCCTTACAATATTGTTCAATTGGTTTTACAATTATCTCTCTCTGAGGTGTTATAGCACTCGCTTTTAGCTCCTTTTCCTCATCAGCAGTGTACAGTGTTGTTCTTTCACATGCATGAAAACATGGCTGAGAGAGGAAACACAGAACCCATTTGCTTAAGCGTCCTTGTCTCCATGTAAAGATTTTTCACAAGCTTCTTTTGTTACGAGTATAACGGGGCAGATTTTTAGCTCCTCTCATGTACAATATCTGAAATTGAGGACAGGACTGAGGAACACATTCTGTCAAAAATCCTTTGTGACATTTTTCTGAATGCTGAAATCCTTACAGTAATATTTGACAGAGTCACAGAACAGGATCTTATCACACTGAAATAAACAGATGTGTGTTTAGCTTCCATTCTTGCTTCCTTGGACAAGACAAAACATGCAGCAGTGTTTTGCTGTGGGAGACGCTGATATTGCAGTTTTGTTTAAACTGTGGTAGTGGTAGGTCTGAGTTTAAAGCACTGCAGATAATCGGCGGCCAGTTTGGAGTCATTTTGTAAAAAAAAAAAAGGAGTAAGCGTCAAGGTTCTTGACTTTGCTGAATGCTGAGATTAAGAAAAACAGCAGAGTCTGCAGAGTACACACTGAGACTGCCATGATCTGATCTGGTAGAGTGAGTGCTCAGACAGAGAAGGAGTGTTTTTCTTCCCAGGTACCTTACTCCATCTGTCTACTAGTATTCCATGACTACAGCCATGTAAAAATGTAATCAGTATGGTAAATGAAATAAAGGACTACAGAAAATCATGCTGGCATTTCATTTTGGTCCATCTTTTTCTACAGAGTGGGCTTATAATGCACAGAATGGTCATAATTAACATTTGAAAGGTTATGATACACTGTATGTATCAATGTCACCGGTGCCATAGCTTCATTATACATTTAATTATACCGAATGGTAGATTTCATAGTGTACAGTTGATAGTCCATCTATTTCTCTTCTCTCGTCAATGACAAAAGAACGCAACAGTCAGTGAAAAAAGGTTGTTGAGAGCTATTGATAACTAAATGTCAAGCAGAATTGTTTCATTCAGTTTCCTCCTGATCGGTGTGCAAACTCTGGTCCGTGACTGGAACAAATATTTATAGGCTATATATAACCATTCACCCATGACTATTTCTTAAAAAAAAGTAACAGTTCAGGTATACTAAGTGGTTCTCATGCTGTCATATCAATGCACTTTAAAGGAGTGATAAGACTTTCCTGAAAGAAAGCTTAAATAAGAAAAAAAGTGGATCAATTTAGTGCCAGTGTCTACATTATGTTTGAATTTCACACAAATTGTTCAGTTTTCTTTTTCAATTTTGCATTTAAGGAGACATGTTCATTCAGTTGCTTTTGTTCAATTTGACGTTTTAGACTTTCAATGTCATTGTGCAGTTGAACTAAATTAAACCAAACAAGAGGGAACTAATATCATTGATACACAAATTTGTGTTTACTTTCTAATTTATGTACAAGATCAGATATATTCATGTGGTTTCATGTCATTGTTATTAATGTAATTGTTTCCCCTTTTCATTTAAAAAGCTAAAAGAAGAGGACCAAAAATTACATATGACAAACATGTCATGTGCCGAAAAATTAATGTTCACGTCTTTAATTTATAAAATTTGATGATGTAGATAATGTTGCATTTAAATTGATGAACATTTTCTATCTCTTGCAGGTAAATTTATACTAACAATGCATTATAATTAATATTTTGAGCCAACTCGGCTCAAAGTCCTCTGTCTCTTGCATCTGTGAGTTCTTCTATTAAAAGTTGTGCTGCTGTGTTATGAAATGCAAAGTGCCATATGGTCTTATTTCCCTTTGTCTTCTCTTTCTCAATGTTCCATCTTAGGACTTGAATTGTCTTGTATAAAACCCACAGTCCGCTGCAGTCAGATGGGCTGGATGGGGGACAGCGCCAACAATCAGGTTCCCAGAGTTGAGTGTTTATGCCTTTCACTTAATGGATTGTCTCACCTTCTTCAGAGGATGAACATGAGGTGCTTGAGATGCCAGCACTGCAAATGGATCCTGGGGCTTTGAGCCTGATAACAACCAGCCGTCATCTGTTTCAGACATGCTTCAATCAGCATGCGTGATGATCAAAGAGCAACAATGTGGCAGCAACGTGTTTTACCAATTCAAGTTGCCTAATTAGCTTCCTGTTTAAAGAGGATGTAAAATATGTGTAGCAAGTTGTGCCTATCATGTGTTTGTGCACTTGTACCCTGTGGTGAATTTATAATGTCTTTTGGAGCTTAACTTCACTGAATGTAAAATGAATAAAACAAAAAGCTTCTCCATGATATTACTTTTTGTGGACTTGCTTTGATGAATATGTGCAGTATTTCAATACTGTCTGTATTTGCCAGAATGCCAAAGGCAAATTTCCATTTCAATGTATTGTAATGGACAATAAAGTTCCATATCTTAATATGACTGAGCAATGCTCTGTCTGACTTAATTGAAATGTAACACATTCAGTCTTTATGCTCCTTATGATATGTGAGATTTAAGCAATAAATTTCAACTTATTGATCTTCTAAACGTCACAGATAAAACCCACTGGCAATGTTTACATATCAAAAAAGCAGTGTACGAGCACAATGCCGTAGCCCACCGTCTTTTGGGATTTCTGACACTGGTACTCTGTAGAATAAAATCAACTCAAATTAAGTAAAATTACAAAATCCCCCCAAATCAATCACTGATGGCTCATTCATGGCTGCCAGTGCCAATTGCACCTGAGTAAGGCATGAAAACCCTGGGGTACAGCACAATGAGAGACACAAATTTTTTTCTAATGAAATTCATATGAATATATATCTAGGAGGGTTATGCTTGGACTTTTCACCTGCTCTTATTTCTTTATATCTTGACTACTTTAATTGCTTTCAGCGTGTGAAAGTCAGTCAGTCAGCTTTGTCTCAGCAGTTACAGTACTTCAAAATTCAAGCAGCAAGGCTACTCACTGTAGAGAAGAAGCCAGGCCATGTCTCCTTTATTAGTCTTGCTCCACTTATTACAAATAAAATACAAAATATTTTAAATGTGCTTTTAATTTAGTTTTTTTCTGCATGGTTTCACACCAGTTTATGTTTCTGACATTCTCGGTCCCCCTGTACCTCCAGGCCCCTCATATTCTCTGTCCACTGTCTCCTCTCCTGTTAAAATCCCATGGAGTGGTCAAGAAGTTCCCATTGTTGCCCAGATTGTGGATCAGTTTATTCTTTCACTGCCAGGTCTTCCACTGCTATTGGCATTTTTATATTCATTCTTGAACCCAGCACTTTTACTTTGGAGTCTTCACAAATGTAAATATCAATACATGATTGTTTCTATTCTATTTTACATTATGTGTTTCTGTGCACTGTGCTTTTTGTATTTTTACAATGTATTTATTGTCATTTTGAATTTATCTGAATGTATTTTTAACTGTACAGAACTTTGGTCAAAGTTTGTTGTTTTAAAATGTGCTATATGAATAAAATTGACTAGCCAATAAAATAAATGCCACCATGACAATCCTTATTTTTTACAAAAGAAGCCATAAAGTTTAAATCACAGCCTGTACTTGTCACATTGTATTTAAAACATGAATACAGTATTATGTAGCACAAATAACAAAACTATATATATATATATATATAGTATATAAACTATATATAGTATACTATATATACTATATATTCTGTATATATGTATATATGCATATTTACACAAGTACTGTACTTGCTAATTTCATGAAACTTGCCTTTACTCCTGCACATTTCAGGAGGAAATACTGCACACTTCATTCTACTAAATTTATCTCACTGTAATGGAATGAGTTACTTAGCAGAATAAGACACAACATGCACGATGCACTGCTGTGGTTTAAACCACCACACCACAGTGTATGGAGTAGTTCACCTCAGTGCAAGGAACACCTATGGTATTAAAAAGCAGTAACACACTTAATAAACTAACCATTATGAAAATGAATGTCTTGTGACTCTAAAGTAAATCAGACAGCCCATTGCTGTCATGTTGGTAAAACAATTATTGCAGGTATAATGTTTGGATATGCTGTATGTATTTGTATGTATTTTTACATTGTGGTATTATACCTTTACCCAACTGCAGTGTTTTTAAATTCCCCCAGGTAATTAGATGGTGCTGAGTTGTGTGTCTTACACTCAACAGTACACTGGTTCATTATAATACCTCAGATATTTATTCATTTGAATTACCTGAGGGGCACAAATGTCAAATATGAGGAGGTCAGGATGAATAATATAATGTATATAGGAGTTCCAGAGAATGCCACTATGTTGGAAACATACATACCCATATAGTGTATTTTGGTTACTTTAGGAGATGAAAAATAGTAAGGGTAGCAGTTGGACTGGATGCATTTTTGTCTGAAAAATTCAATACATGAAGTACATTATCACAAATGTGACACCATTTCAGTAAATACAAAAGGCATATTACTGTAAAAGCACAGTTATTTTAGGACTTTTATTGTGAAGCATGCAATGGAACTGGGCCAGCTACCTATAACAGAAGCACATCTGTGAGTGGGTCAAATCCCTGGATGAGCTGGGAACACCTGGGAAAGAAATCTCTGGTTAGAGGAGTCCCCTCCCTCTGCAAATGCCACTGAGCTGCTCTCGTCTTGAGCAAGACACTTTAGAGCACTGAGGTACCGTGCAGTGGACAGGTAGGAGGCACAAGTCTTTACTGTGTGTGTGTGGGTGTGTTCGGTTACCTCTCCACTATGAATGCGAGCCAGAACGCTGCTGAGACAGACAGCCAACCATTACCAAATTAAAATGTTCAAAAATATTTTTCACTCAACATGTTAGTATATATTCAACATGTGAGGTGTACTTTGTAAAATGTTCAACTATCAATGTTAGTTATTAACCTTACTGAGTTACAGTAATTCCTATATAATTCAATAAAGTGTGTAAAATAGGACATTAAATATTGTATACATTAAAGGATAGGTTCACAATTTTTCAAGTCTGTCTTAAAACAACAGCCAGGTGCCCTTATGAACATTGAAACAGGTTCTGCTTTCTATTATCATTCCTTCTGACCATACTGGCCAGTAAGAGCTCATTTCCTAATGTGCCTCCAGTATAAGTGATGGAAAACCAAATCCACAATCCTCGTTTGGTGAAATAATGTATCCCAAAGTTCATCTGGTGGTTATATGAGGCTTTAGTAGCGGGCACCTGACCATTGTTTTAAGACAGACTTAAAAAATCTGAATCTATCCTTTAATCCTCATCCAAACACACATTTAACATACAAGGACAATCGACTGGGATCCCTGAGGACTACTGAAAGAAACAACTATCAAACATTTATTTTTATTTTTATTATAGTTATGTAATTAATGTAAAAAAATAAATAAAAAAAAAGATTATTATTAAATTGCAATTAATACATTTGTTCTTCTGGATCATTTGAAGGTACTCGAACTGCACATAAGAGACACCTATTGAGACATAATTTGAACGCAGTCTCTCGCAGTCTACTTCAGGAAAATTTCCATCAGTATTTTCAGAAATTATGATAGATAGGATATTTTGTTTGCATGTACAGACACTTTCTCTTATCCAAAAGATTATCAGAGTTCTTGGGACATCATTTAAGCAGCGACTTATGCTTTCGGGTACTGACATTGTAGGCCAACTGACTTTCTCACGGGAGGAAAGGCACAGGTGATACTATAAACATAAACGATGATGGTGTGACATTAAGACAGCATGTACAACAGTTTTATTATATATACTTGTGCGTTTCCTATTGTGAAGTGCAAAAGGCCTATTGTACCTTTTGAGGGCAACAAAGCAAATGGATGACACTGAAACGAAGAATCCACTTGAATAAAGAATCAGTATATGGATGTTTTTGCTTTTACAAGAATCTGTTTACATCTCAGTAGATATATTTATTTGTTTATATCTATACACATCACATTATACTGTATATGTTTATTTACTACTGTTTACCCATCATTGGACATATTTATTAATTCAGTATATATATTTATATGTATATGTATCCTGTCTACAATCTATTATATATATATATATACATATATTACAAACTATTATTATAGTTTGTACATTTTACTATTATACTTAATTTTATATTATAGTAGTTTTTATTCCTATATTTTAGTGGCTGCACTATTTTATGTCTGTCTTTTATGATTCTAACTATTTTGTTCTACTATATGATTTTTTTCCTCATACTGAATTTGTGCTTTGCTGTAATTGTTGAGTACATAAAAATAAAATAAATTAAATGAATTAAGTATTGAATATGGTTATATTCTCCAAGTAAGTCTTCACTAGTTGATTAAAAAGATGTGTTCACAACACAGTCTTCCACATTATCATATTTCTTGTGATGAATACATTACATTTGTAGCTGCATGGAGAAATGATTGTTGTATAAGTAAAATGTATTTTGAAAAGAGAATTTTCCATGATTTCCATGAGAAACAGAAAATAATCTCTTTACAGATTCTTTACTACCTCGTGTCCAGTAACACACACAGTAAGTGAACTTGTATGATGTTAAAATCGGATTTGTAGACTCTAATAAATCATCTCAGATCATTTACAAACAGAACAGTTTTTTTCAAGTACCTGGGTATGTGTCCATTACATATACTTGGATACTGCTGTAGTGTATGAAATATGATACACTTCAAACATCAGAAAATCAAAGAAAAGCTGTGAGAGGTGAGCGGTGGCAGATGGCTGAAGGATGTTTTGTGTGTTTTCCCTTTGACTGAGCAGCAGTCGCCCGAGTGGAGGAATCTTTTTCTAGCTCCTGCACACACGGCTGAAGGGAGGAGAGAGGAGGAACAGTCTGCAGCGTTTTAGCACACAATTTCATGATGGTTTCAGAGAAGAGGCCAGCCAAGCATTTCAAGTGGCGGAGCAGCGAGAGGGCAGCATTGTAGAGGAGCGCAGGTAGTGTAATGATCAGGTAGACAAGATGACATCAAGCGTCCTCAGGGATGGCCAGGCACAGAGAGCTGACATCCTTCCAGAGAGAAAGAACCACTGAAACGGGACGAGACAAAACCAACAAACAAGAGAGCCATTAGCCTCAGGCAGACTTGTTATTACTGTACTGCAGCAGAAAGTCACATGCAGGAACTGAGACAAAGAGATTTAAACACTATAAGAACATAATACAACTTGTTACTTTGTGTGTAATTTTATTATTAGCTTTTGCATCTCTCAGCACTAACATATTAAGAATATTATATTTTGTGCACCATTGCCTGACAATGATGGAGGCTTCCTTCAACTCCCAAGATTCTTGGGTCTAACAAAGAACAGTGGAATTGTGGGAAGTGTAGGATGTGTAAAGGTGCATAAGTCGTACAAAGAATAACACCTGGTAATGCAAATATATCATCATAGATTTGATTGTACATACAAAAATATGTGAATATATGAATATTTAACATAACTGCACGGTTCCACCTTTAGGGCTTGATCAAATGATTATTTTAGATTTTGTTAAAAATGAATAGAATTTGTGTGCTTATTGTGTGTGTGTGTGTATGGAAAGGTTTATATAAATATTCCATTCTAACAAATTTAATAATGAATATGCTGGTAGAGTTTGGACTGTATGATAATTCTTACATTTCACAATAATTTATGAACTTATATTGACACATAAAAATTAAAAACGTGGCAGCCTTAAACAGTAAATCACCATCGAGAAGATGGGATGTTGACGAAAATAAATAGGCATCCAGACAATTTACTCAACACTAACATCAACATCGTCACTTCTAACATAGCTATGTTTTTCTTTTACTTTCCCTATTATACAACCCTTTCTTTTCCAAATTCTGGAGCTATTTTATTAAAAATATATTACATATTACAATGAACAATATTACACTGTTTACACCAGGTGTGTTAACTGAACTGGAATATGTCATTCTGCCATTTATGAGTGCTATAAGGCAAATAGTATGTTGTGTTTAGGAGGAAAAGAGTTTGAAGCGTTTAATGTCACCTTACAGAAATTTGGAATTTTAAAACACCTTTCCCTCCTTTGAATATAATTATATACTTCTTATGCATTTTCTTTTTCTACAGCTATGAATGAAAAGATAAAGAGACGCACACGGCATGACAAATTCAAAAAGTAGCTTGATTCATATCACTGATGACAAGTCCTTATGCCGCCTCACAATGGTTCATTTTTGTGTTTTCATGTTATCAAATTTTATGTTAAATTTGATTTGCCACAAATTCCAGTTCTCTGTCCGGTTAACAAAAAGCCTCTTGTATCTCACAACAGTGTTCTCTGTGACAGCATAGAGAAAGCAAACCATTGCAGTATATCAAGAAAAGCAAAGTTTACATACAGCATCGTTGCTGTGGTTATTATTAGGACAACGGACATCAGTGACTTTGACTTCTTTTCCCCTGCTGCAGTTCCTCAGATGGCCACTGAAGACATACTGAAAGACTCCAGCAGTACATTGCTCATAGATTATGTGAATAATTTGATAGTTGTGAAGTGTGGATGTTATCATTAGGAGAAGCAGCACAATTTGAATGGTCTACATATCATAAACATACCATAAACATCTCACACAGAATTCCTGCTTTAGTTATATGACTTGCACTGAAACCATCTGTCAAATTAACACTATAGAACTTTCTAACTCTTGGGGTTAAATGCACACAGTTCTCATTAAAATATGTCCCCAATGAAAATAACTAGAGGCTTTTCAGTGAACTTCTAACTAACTTCTTGTTGCTGAAACCTGCTTTATGATTGGAGCAGCAGCCATTTGACTAACTGGTTTGATTCTGTTCTGCTTGGCAAAGTCGACATGGGAAAACCAAATATGGTCTTGAGCAAAAGCTCTTAAAAAACAAAATGTCTCTCAACCATAATAACTCCTTTTTTGTGCTTGGCCTATTATAATCTTGATCAAAAACTAAATAAGGATTTAGGACATTAAAATTGTTTTCCAAATACAAATAATCTGTAAAGATTATTTTTGTGTTTTTGAAAATGGTTGATGACCATGGCAGTTAGGAAAATAATATGAAAACTAATAAATATAAAAAAGCAATATAAGAAAATGCTGGGATAAAACAGAAAAACAGTATTATTTGGATGGTATTATTTAAAATAATACCTTTTTTTTGTTGTTGTTTTTGTTTTTTGACAAAGGCAAACATTAATTCCCACAACACCAGAATCCATTAGAAATTAGGTGGCAAAGATAATTATGAATTAAGCACATTCATAAATAATTATTTGTAAAGAATATTCTGATGAAACGCTGTTGCATACAAATGCACTAGTACAATAAACACTACAACAGTGACTCTGTGCACCCATTAATAATATGATATTAAACTAATTTACAACATACCAATACTTTGATTTGTTTTTGATTTCTCATTTTTATAGTTCTGCAGAAAATGTTTCACCCTCAGAGGGTTCACTTTAACAGCACTCTCCTTCAGCATGTAGCAGCTGATTTAGGCAGTGCTCATTTTCTGGAAATAAAACGAGTGAAAATGACAATTTGAATCTTTTTACACTGTAAAAATGGGCTTTGACTTTACATTCTAAATTGCAGCACGTGGTATGTGCTTGTGGCTGTCAGGATCAATACATTCAGAATAAAGTAGTTAAAGTAGTTTTGTGATGTGTTTATGTGAATTCATATAAATAATGGTAGGCTATCAGGTGGCCTACTGGATAAAAGCATCCCAAAGTGGGGATAAACAGACAGGTAAAAATACCGCATTGATATGCAGCTTCTGTTCACATTTCCATTGTTGAGGCCTTTTAAAAAGTTTCCGTCTCCACACACAGCACTCAAAGTGCTTTGAAACTTTTGATTAGAAGATGCATCTCTTCACAGTTAACATGAAAACAAGCTGAATAAATGAATTCCTGGCATAAATGGACATCAGGAAACACTTCATACAGATTGCTGCTATTTGCATGCATTTCAGGTGTAAAACCACATTTGATTATTATTATTATTTCTTTTACCACACATGGTGATGGGAAACTGTCTACAGCTAGAATAGCGTCCAGCTAAACTATTTCTACGACATCCAAACTCAAACTTCCTGGCAAAATAATGGAACTGAAGTAAAGGAAATACCTAGTATGCATGCAAATTCCTGAAAAAGGCCAGTTTGCCTTGTCACCTGCTTAAAAACCCAAAAGTATGTAAATTATATCTGATATAAACTGTCACAATTGCAGTAAGTCTGGCTTTAACTCTGTACAACACCCTGTTTTAACAGAAATAACTTGATACTCGATCTGTGATGCAAATTTGTCTTAAAAAAGACACACCATTACAGACGATCAAACAGTTCTTATGTCATGGACAACACTGACTAGAAACTCTATAATTGATGTTCTATAATGAACATAAGTATATTTTCTGCAGTGAAGTGAACCACATGTTGTACATTATATTTTAAAGATCATTTCAGGACATGTCATCAAACAGACTTCATCTCATCACAACAACTGGCTGCCAAGGGCAACTAGACACAGAGAAAGACTGGCAGAGGCATTTTGCCATATGAGTAACCAGGTGACAAAGCTAGAGTGAGCCGAGGTTGAGTCACAACCATACTCTCTAACAGCTTTGTTTACCTGCCCTTACTGCTGCCACAATTAATGCAGCAGAGAAGTGGACGAACCAGGTACCCTTGGAACCTTGGTAATCTGCATTGATCTGTTGCTGTGTTTTTTTAAATTGTTGTTACAAAAGAGAGCAGCTATGCTAAAATGTTGCCACTCAAAACAATGCAGAGGACAGCGGCACTCACAGAACCCTGAGTACCTAAAATTTCAGAAGGCTAACTCTGTTTTTTAGACGTGGAAAGGTGGAATTTACTGGCTTTTAAAAAAAATATCAATCAAGGTGACAGAGTGTAGAATTACAGAATATATTTATGTATTTAGTTATTTCTTCATTTCTTTTATACATATTTATAATATGATCACCAATCTCACTGAAATTATTTAAAAAATGATCATGTTCATGTTTATCAAAGATTATCAACATACTTCCCAGCATGTATTTGAGTTATAGTTTGAACAAAATTACAGGATGGAGGTTTCGGTATGATTTATATGTTTTTATATGTCCCAGATTATGATTAAAATGGATATCCTGGTGAACACAATGATATTTGATAAGCATAATGGCTTGACCATATGGCAAATTATTTTTGTTTTCTTAGGAAAAAATTAACACGGGTCTTGTGCTGATCAAAACATGGTCTAATAATTTATAAAACAAGATAAACTGACACCAAATGAGTTATCTGCAATGCAAATCATCAATTGGCAGCTTCAGTGCACACTGATTTTGTTTGAAATTGTCTTAAGCCTCAAACTATTTCCAACATCTTTGACTGCTTTGCACTCCATGTGCAATTTCACAGCAAAACTGATGTTTTTAAAGTAATGATAAAGTAAGAAGTTAAGTAATGTTTTGGTTGTACTACCATCAGCTGGTTTTGTATCATACAGACTGACTTTTTTTTTTGGTGTTAAATGACCTTACTGTTAAGGTTGCTTTCAAGCTCAAAGAAATTCGTTTTTCTTTTCATGTGACACAGACAGGAATTTAACAATTTGACATTGACAAGCTTAAAGCAATTAAACAGGCATTATGAAACAATTTCCTGCTTACATGCAACCTGGCCAGTTATAGGCTCTCCCCTACAGTCAGTGCAGTTCCCAGTATATGATTATAAGCTTAACTGTAACTTAATAAGTAAATGAACTGCTGCACATTATACAGAATAACTTCTACACGCTAAGCCTATTACAAATTTGGATTCTCTAGTTTTCCATTTTTTTCCCCAGTTGTCAGATTATGGTCAGCATCCCATAAAAGCCCATATTCTGTTTTTGGCGCCCTATTAGCATCATTTCGTCCATCAAGCGACATTAATTGTGAATGAATGCAAACTCCTGCAGAAGAATACGGTCTTCAAGAGGCCTGTCACATACTTTCTCCACTTGGGAGGACCTTTAACCTACTTAGCTGAGGAACCGCACCGTTTCAAGTAGTGCAGCTGAAAGATATGCACCTGCCCGCTTTTTACTCTCACACTGCTCGACGATTTAAGAGGAGAGAAAGTATTTGATCTAAATGGTGCTACGCTGACTGCAGGTGTGGAATTTTCTCGACAAATTTCCACAGCAGTTCAGCCACTGGATCGGGCGCAATACAGATGTGGTTTGAATCTTACGTTTTGAGTGAAGAAGACAATGAATTTGTCTTGGTGTAGCAAGATTGGTGGCTTCAGTGTTAGTATTCAAAGTTGGGGTTTCGTTCCTGCTTTACGGAGAACTAAATAGGTTTATTATATTTCGTGCGTAAAAACGCCCGAAAAGATGTTTCGATATCTTGGAAGAAAACTCCTTATAGAACGACAGACATTTATTTCGCCAGTAAATCGTTTACTGTTTGATAATAAATTATTATGAGAATTGTTTTCACTTTTTCTGTTGCCTGACATTAAACAATTTATAATATAAGAATACTCCACATGGCTTTGCCTTTTTTCAAATGTAATATATTTATGTTTCTCCTCTAATTTACAGATCAAAATTACAGTCCTAAAGGACGCAATTTAGTGCGTAATCACACTTCTTTAAAGCACACCACACCAAAATGTGTACTTTATAAGTCTATCTCTTCCTTAGGGAACCGCATCATCATGTTATTTTCATGAGTGGCTCATAACAAATCTCTCTAAATGTAAGAAGTGCACTGAAGGGCTGAAGACATAAGAAAAAGCTTGTTCATAGGTCGTGCGTAAATTACGCACGCAAATTTTAACCTGGATTTTGGTTTTATGATAGTAGTTTAGTGGCAATTATCATGTAATTCTTAACGTGTCACTAAGACTTTTTTCTTTTTTCCACTTGCCAGAGTCAATCCAACCTGCACGAAGAGAAAAATAAAGAGACAACTGCAGACAATCGTGCCATTTTTGGATTTCGTTTAAATTTTACTCGCATTATAGAGAAAAAGTTAAAAGTTAAGTTCGAGATTTAAGAGCTGCAAGACTAAATAAAACCCCATGTTTTCTGCACTTTGTACTCGGCCGGTGTGTGACTGAGGTTGCAGGTCAGGACCCTGGCCCTTCAGCCATCTCTCCACATCTCTCAGGGTATTGAACTAGCAAGGACGAGATGGAGAAAAGCAATTCAGCAACCAGGCGCTTTGGTCCATCTGCTGTGCAGAGTTGGGGGGTGGGTGAGTGGGGGCCGGGGGCGCTCAGGGGTGATATCGAAAAAAAACGTTGTCTGTATGATATAAACTACAAAAATGTTGTTCGGTTCTTGTTAACAACGTGTAAATGGTCCGATGGAGGCTTACACGTCATATTTTAGAAAACAGGTTAGAATTTCCTTATAGGACAAGTCTGATCACTGATACACACAATATAGAAGATTGAATCACTGATGGCGAGCGATGCTTAGCATACAGCTCCCTTTAGGATGATGGGACACTTAGTTGTCAGTCTTTTATTACAGATTTTAATTTGTATGTTAGTAATTCACTAATTCTAAAAAAGCTTGTGAAATATTTTTTCCAAGTGAAATTATCGAAAAAGTTTGACAAGTGTATTAATTAATCTGTAGAAAGTCAACGAGCAGAATTTTGAAAAGCTGTATTTACAAAGGAAGACAAGCAAGTAACGCAAGGTAACACACCTTCCGCGTGCGTAATTCTGGAAATAAAATACATTTCCCCTGCCATTCAGACATCAAGGTACCACTTATTCTCCTTGGGGCTGAAAAGGTCAGTGTAGGTTAATTTAAATGAATATATTGTATGATATTTAGCAGTATGTATCACATACGCTGGTTGCTTATATTCTGTGCACACGCGCAGCAACAAGCTCTGTCCAATAACTATGAATATAATCAGCTGCGAAAAGATTTAGCGATTTACATGATTTTCTTTAGAAATGTGACAGATGTATTAACAAACCTTTGCTGGGCCTTCTTCATAGCTCCCTGGCGCGTCCGTTTGTCCCGCTCCCGCTAGTCTTTGCCACATCACATTCACTGAATGTAAAAGTTAACTTAGATTGACAACTATATTAATGTGGACTATAAGCTCTCATGAGCGTTGCTTGCGGCTAACCAGCTCCAGATTTTTATGGGATCCTAATGTGGAGGGTCTGTGGACCAGGGTCCTGCTCTCTGACTCAGTAATCCACAAGGTTGAGAGGTTTGTCTCATTTACATAATGTTAGAGGTCTGGGCCGAGGCCTACCTTTCTTTTTGCCCTGAAAAGACACCATGCTGTCGCTACCAAAAGAGTGGAAAAGGCGCACAGAAGTCTGGAGTAGAAGAATATTTTCAGGTAGGAATTATTACTTTTCTTTAAGAAAGGAGTTGATTTTCGTATTATTGATACTTTGATAGGAATTGCACTTTTTACTGAGAGCATTTGGTTTACACCTGTTAAACCCCTCCCGTGAAACAGATTTTCTGTTTTAAGATTCAAGTTTTTTTTCTCCTTCGGGGTCTTTCTGGCAACTCCATCTGACTTTGGAATACGCACGCATTGTTTTGTTTTCCTCAACAACAATAAAAGTCCAGCCACTTTAAATCCGTTGCGGGGTCCAGGCATCCGAGGATAGAAAAACACAAGAAGATATTTCGGGTACTGAAATCTGCATAAGAACAATGATTTATTACAATCAGGCTATCAATTTAACCGGAGATTGGTGTTCTTGATATGTCGCTATAATTGATGGCTGACCATGTCACATCTTCAATTGCTCAATTAGGGTAGGCAGCTACTTGCTGCCACGCCATGCTAAATTACATTAGTGGCTTCATGCAGACGAGTGTTTCCTTCCTCCAGTAAAGGAAGATGGTAACACATTTCACGTCTGGAAAATAACCTCAACGCAGCACACCTGCTCCTGCTGTTGCCTGCCGTTGACAGTGATGAAAAATATCAGAACAAATATCATCATTATTTTGATTATAGGCGGCTATGAGCAGCCTAATACCTACGCCTCTGTATTATTGGATAGTTATGAGCTATAGGCTCAATAATGCGTTATAGATCCATAAGGGACACATGTTAGGCTATAATGGGAAACTACATTAACTGGTTTTCATTATTGCAATTTGTAGCTCTTTTCTCTTTTGACCCCCCTGTTGTGTCTCTCTTCCTCTGATTCTTCCCCTGGCGCCAGTCAGTTTGCTCAGAGATTACAATGTCAGGTCAAGACTGCAAAGTGTCATTAATGCAGGGTGACCAGACTCGAGGGTTTGAGGCTTACGATATTGTCTCCAAATTGCATTAAGTCTAATGGATCAACTTGTCTTTTTCTAAGAAATGTATGAAAGTGTGATGTTGCTAAATTATTTCCAGGAACGTGAAGGAATTGGTGTCAGCTGCGTGGTCAGGGTTTGTTTTATTTTTCCAAATGAAATCTATAAATCCTGTGTATTATATAAATGTCCATGCCTGTTCATGAATGTTAGGTAGTCAGGTGTATACTCACAGGTTGGATCCCTATTGCCGCTCCCTTTCAGCATTTTGTCATTTTGAGCTTATTTGGACTTGTCCCTCTCTGGTGGGGCAAAATGATGCTTAAGAAGCATAAATGAGCCGGTCATACAACTTCATTGTGGCTCTTTGATGATACTCGGTGGCCCTTGTGTCTGTTCAAAGTGCTCTCAAAGTTTCTAGAAAGAGTGGAATTCCCTACTGACGCAAAATAGTCATATGTGGTCAGATCAGCTGATGTGCAGAACATAATGGATTATTCTCACCTGTATATATAGATGTCAGAAAGGAAATAATTGTAAATATGTGGCGTCCTTCTGTTCATGTATACAACTTAATATAAAGGAAAGGGTGTATTTTCATGAATTATTTCCCTAAAATGTCAATGACTATTGTTTGCTGGTTTAGGAGTTTTGCTCCGCCCCCTGTGTTTGTCGTAAACCTGGCTCCTGGCTCCAATAAACCCGGGCTAAGAGCGCCCTGGGCTCGCCTCCTTCTCCAAGGCGATCAATAGGATCTCAGGCGCACTACAAGCACTCTCTTACGTAGACATCCACCAAGGAGAGAGCCGATACAACAACACGGTTGATCTGCTCAAACACAAAAATCTACCTGCTTTCCGAATCATGTCGTTGAGCCCAAAGCACACAACGCCTTTTTCAGTGACAGATATTTTGAGTCCAATCGAGGAGACCTACAAGAAGTTTAGTGGCATGGACGGCGCAGGGAACCTAACCTCTCCACTGGGAGCCTACCGACAACCTCAGGTGTCTCAGACCGGCATGCAACAACACTCCATGGGCCATAATGCCACCGTGGCCACCACTTACCACATGCCGCACACCGTCTCCCAGTTCTCCCACAGCGCAATGGGGGGATACTGCAATGGAAGCATTGGCAACATGGGAGACCTCCCGTCGTACCAGGAAAGCATGCGGAATAGTGCAGCAGCAACAGGGTGGTACAGCGCCAACCCTGATCCAAGATACTCTACAAGTAAGTTATTTACTCCATTTATTCACACTTTTCTGATTTTAGTTCATCGTAAATATAAAAATAAAATAAAATGGACATTTCAGGAGTGAGAGGGGAAACGCTCAGGACTAAATATGTATTGCTTTAAAAAAATATTCATTTATGTTTGAGGGCTAATGATAACAAGTCATTGTAAACAATGTACGCTATTTTAATACATCTTTAATTTAAAATTACTATTTGTGACGGTTAAACTGAAAAGGAGATCATTCTTTCATGACTGGCTCGACTTTTTTAAATCTTTGGCATGAGTGCATATTTATAAGCAAATTATTATTATTATTTTTATTATCATTATTATTATTATCATTATTATTATTATTATTATTATGTTTTTTTAAGTTGATGCTTTCCAACTTGAATTATTAACGCCTATAACAGCCAATAATCAGTAAAGACTACTTCAGGCGAAACAGTGTTCTCCTCTTCTGTTTATTGAACGAATGTATATGTATGTATATTTTTAAGTTTCTAGATTCATGGGACCTTCCACAGGTATGAACATGACCGGCATGGGGGGTCTCACAGGAATGGCGGACGCCACCAAATCCATGCCAGCTCTCCACGCAGCGCCCAGGAGGAAACGGCGCGTCCTGTTCTCGCAGGCTCAGGTTTATGAGCTGGAGAGGAGGTTTAAGCAGCAGAAATACCTGTCGGCGCCTGAGAGGGAGCACCTGGCCAGCATGATTCATCTGACGCCGACCCAGGTGAAGATCTGGTTTCAGAACCACCGGTACAAGATGAAGCGCCAGGCCAAGGACAAGGCAGCGCAGCAGCTGCAGCAGCAGCAACAGGACGGTAACCTGTGCCAACAGCAGGCGCAATCCCCGAGGCGCGTAGCCGTGCCAGTTCTGGTGAAGGACGGTAAACCGTGCCAGAACGGCTCTAACACGCCGACGCCGAACCAGCAACAGGTACAACAGAGCCAACAACAAAGTCAACAACAGAACGGGGCCGGAGTTGTGCTCGCATCCACGACCAACAACCTCACCCAGCATCAAAGCCAGCAGCAGGTGAACGCTTTGGAGCTGGAGGAGATGTCGCCCAGCCCCCCCTCACTGCACAGCCAGCTCAACATGGCCCAGATAGACACATCTGCTGTAGATTACACCAGTAACATGGTCAGCTCAAACCTCCTCTACGGCAGGACGTGGTAGGACTTAATACAGTACTGTCACTTTCCACTTTTTCTATGTGAACCTGCGGATGAGCCCATGCAACAGCAGAACGCACACATAAATATATATGTGTGTGTGTGTGTGTTTTTATGTATATGTATATATATGTTTATATACATATACACACATGTTACACATATATATATATATATATATATATGAAGGCTGAAAATGGGGCCCGTTGGTGTTAGAGGGGACAAGGCGCACAGAGGCGCACCAGCTGATCAGGGCACATTTTCTTGACATCTCTGAGAGGGGAGTCTATTTTTGAACATTACAGAAATGGCTGCCCTTGAAAGCAATTATGTCGTTTCTGGACCTTTTGTAATCCATGTTTTGGACCTTCCTCATGATGTTTTAAACGTAGTCTATGTTGTTGAAACACAAAGGAATGCTGCTTCACTTGAGTGCGGACTGTGGGGAAAGGTGGGATCAGGTTTGAAGTACACTAAGCCACCACTCCTTATTTGCGGTGATAACCTGGTATTTTATCATATTAATATTGTAAACTAATGTATTCATTTAGACTTATTAAATAAAGTAGGGACTTGTATATTTGGCTAACACACAAGAATGCGTTTAACTGTATAATAATCGTTATTGCGTCCACTTTTATGTTTTCTTTATTCTTTTGTAAGTTAAAAAGGAACAAATGCGTGATGGCTGCTGTATATGTTTCAAAACCAAGTGAACGTTAACAATAAATAACTTGAAGTGTGAGAGCTATTCCTGAAGAAGTAATTTTTTAAAAGGCATCTGTTTTTGGAGTGCATTTTCATTATGTTGTGATTGAGACCAAATTGAGCTGGAAAGCAAGGTCGATGAGGGAGCCAGCATTGTTCATGTGACATTTTGGAGGGTTGCCTTTCATGGGGGAAGTCTGCAAGACGCTAAGACCAGGAAATCATCCTTTAAAAAAATCCCCAACAATTTCCAGCAGGTTTAATATTGACATTAATTTATACATTCAGGTATTAATATAATTCATTTTTTAAAAACCTCTTCAAACATACTGATCTTACTGTATTTAATATGCCCAGACCTTCGTTTTGCCGCAATGTAATTGGTCAATTTTATTGTGAATGCGAGCTTCCATAAAATACACAATGACTACCAATTATTGTAAGAATGAATATATTATCCAAAGGAATGGAGTACATGGCTCGCATTATAGCGCATTAAAGTTAATTATACTCTAATTATAGGGAAGATATTATTATTATTATTATTATTATTATTATTATTATTATTATTATTATGCACAGGCCTTAATCGCTTTGCTAAATTATACACTTGTCAAAATAAAAGTTTATAATACCACTTAAAAATAAAATAAGTTACAAATAATAAACAGTATGCTTCTTAATTTAACTTTGTGAATTTTAAATTATTTAAGACCTTTTATTCAAATTCGTCGCTATTTACTAAACTCTGAATTTGAGCGTAAGTGAAGCTGGATGGGACTCAATTACATGCATTGATATTTAGTATTAGCGCACTGTTGGTGATATTAGAATGATAACAGAATGATAACTACTATTATCTGAAATAACTGCAAAATGTCAAATTCTTCCAAACATTTTCAGAACCTCTTAGTTAAATCTCCTTTATTTAAAAAAGCCTCTCAAAGTTACAATAAACTGTCATACTGTTTATGGACTTACTATTATTTTGATTTTAAATAACAGTGACATTTTTCTTTTCACTCTATGCAAATGTTAAAAATACCCAGCAGCACGCACACATTTTTTTTTCGATCACAAACACACACTCACACACTGTATGCACATCCACACAGAGGAACACACACACACACACACACACACACACACACACACACACACACACACACACACACACAGACAAGCCTCATTCTGATCAATCTCTTTAGTAGATGAATGATTTGTGCAAACAAACTCCAAAGTGTTTAAGGTCATCACTTAGCATCAGTGTCAGTTCCCCTTTGCTTCTGTCCTCCAAAACCTTTTTTACACAAGCAGTGGCTGATAATAGGATCTAACATTTCACTTCCTGTGGTCATTTAAACACGTTTGGAAATTACTTCTCAATCCCCTTGCTGATGACACCCTGTGATGATGATGATGGCTATCAGTGTGTCTCAATGGAGACCTTGGAGAGCCCCCATTTCCAACCCCTTCACATACCTGGCAGCTGTATGTATATGTGCTATCATCCCTACACTCGAAGGAAGCATCAGAGCCAATATGCACCTGACATTTGGAATTGAGCGCAACGACTCCATCAGAAGGGAGTTTAATAAGAGCATTAAAAAGAAAAATGCATTCCACAATATACACTTTGATGCCGCAAGAAGTTTCTGATAGATTTTGTGTCTAAATTGAGGGCATGAATGAGCTGTCAACAAAGATTTTGATGGTGTACCACATGAAATGAAAGTGGAGGTGAAGCCATTCTTTTCTCTTTTCAATAGCCATAGTTATGGCGCACTAATAGGCTATGCTTGGTAATCACTGGCTATTGTGCCTGTTGCTTCTCTCAGTTTATTGGGGGGTACCTCTCTTTGTAAGGATATATGAGACAGGCTGGGCACTGTAATTGGTGCTGGCATCATCATTTCTGTCTGGAAAGTTTTGGGGGCTGCAGCCACAACTGTGTGGCGTTATACTTCCGTGTGTGTCATTGCAGAAGCAGCTTAAAGGTTGTCTATGTTAACAAAATCTGCACCCACACATGCGCACACGTATGCATATAAATACTAAATGCATGTACATGCACACGCAGCTCACAGTCACATATACAAACAACACAACCGAATCAAGTCATACATTATATAAAATTGCCTCTATTACACAGAGCAGATATTTCCATCAGAGCTGGAAAAAGTCTATCACTACCTCAATGCCATATATAGAGCATGAGGCAAAAGATAATCTATTTCACTGATGTAAAGCATTTTTTAGACTATTCTTCCCAGGTAATTGCAGGTTGTACTGCATAATATGAATGTAGAAGAAAGCCTTGCTCCAGTCTCTGCAAACCCCCCACCCAACTCCCTTCCTCCCCATTATTCTACTTAATATGTCAGAAGGTCTGATCGCAGAGAAACCTTTTCAAGTCCTATTGATGTGTTCCTCAATTGACCATGGCGACCTAGCAACCTAGAGAGCGCTAATTGGCAAGGGCTTAACATTATTGGCTGCATAGTTTACACAGAAACATAGCCCAAACATATAATCCTCATCATACACAGTACACTTTTTTTTTGTTTTGCCGGTACAACGGGGGGATTGTTTATATGCTGTTGGTCTTAACTGAAAAAGCAATTAAGACTGAAAGCTAAAAGCTAAAAGCATGGCAGAGTTTCAGAATGGAATATAGTGGAATAGTAAGATTTATGTCACACAGGTGAAGATAGAATAATGGGGCAAAACTTTACAGAGAATATTACACATTAAGACATTTTGTATGATAAATGCATACATATGCTATAGATAGGTATCACTAATATATATTAAGTTAGTAGTAGTATCCAAAGTTTACTCCCACAAGTTCTGTCCCCTCCTCTCTCCTGCCTTCCCCAAATAGTCCCCAGATTTTGCCTCATGTGAAATGATTAGGGGAGGAGAGGTTCGCTTTTCATCTCACTGTGCGAATGAATGCATTGAATTGGCAAGTTCTTAGAGACACAGAGCGAGGTTTTAATTAGTGTATTGCCCTCATATTCTGCCAAGGAGAGACAATATTTCTCTTTTCTATGACAAACCTGTGCCTGCTGGATTTGTTTGGTTTCCACAGAATGAGTCACTGCAAGTCTGCAAGTCTTTGCCCCAGGGAGCAAAAAGTTCCCTAATTCCAGTCATTTTCAAATGGAAAAAATAGACTGCAAATAATCATCTTCCTACAGAGTGAAAAAAAACATTTCAAGAAGGTCATAGGACTCTGAAAGCAATTCTCACTCTAATAGATTTCCATGAAATTAAATACATGAAACCACATTTTTACTGTTGCCTTTGGTTTGACGATAATATGAACTCAAATGCACATGCACACACACATACACACACGCACAGAGACAATTATATGCTATTCCAGGACTTGCACTGGCTAATTCCATTGCTTACTATGAATACCATTTTAGCAATATGAGGCATTGGAGGGCCAAAGCAACCTTTTGAAGACTATTCACAAATATCTGTAGGGGGGTGGGGGGGTTGGCAGAGGATGAAGGATGGAGGACTAGGTTAGGTGTGTGTGTGTGTGTGTGTGTGTGTGTGTGTGTGTGTGTGTGTGTGTGTGTGTGTGTGTGTGTGGTGTGTTGTGTGGGTGTTGGGGGGTGCAGCATCCCTTATTAGAAAACCATGTCACATTCTCTCTCCTGCGCCGGCCGGACTCGCTGCACTGCCAGTAATCCCCCCTCCAAGTCCCCCTATGCATGTTATTCAATTCGCTCATAAGTAGTTAGAGAAACTGTTTTCAGTTGCCACTAATAACTACTGACCTCCAGTGACACAGGCCAACAATAGGTTTGTCAGGCCTGAAACGCACAACCAAAGAAGCTGATTAGGAACTCAAGAGGTTTGAAGCAAGAATCAATGGTTGCTCTGTCCTGCCATGGTGCTTCCAGCATGGCACTGATGATTGTGGGACTTCCATTAGTTATGCCTCATTAAGTCCCACAAACTCTTCTTTAAGAAAATTAGTTTAGCCAATTCTAGAATCTATTATGGCTGTGTAGCTCCTACAGAGGTGCCACTGTGTTAAGACTCCGAGACAGGAGAGGTTGGAGAGAGACCTGCTTTACTGTGTAATAACTTATATGTCTCAATAAGATATTACACAGTAAAGCAGGTCTCTGAGAGCCTGTGGCATTAAACACATTACACTCAATCCATTTGTAAATTCCTTGCTTTCCTTAAATCATTAAATTTTAAGTTTCAGTTCATATTTGTGCACATTTTGACCTTTTTCTGTTGAAATTCTTATTCAAATTACATATTTTCTTCTTGTATTATTGTTAAAATACGCATCAGTGGGCCTCTGGGTAACTCAGTGTCACACACATTGTGTAATTTAGATGTTTTGTGTAAAGAGCCACAGCCTCCGGAAAGGAAGCATTTCAAGTACAAACTTTATACCACTAACTATGTGAGGTAAGATTAAGCTATACAATAATATCAACATTAACACACTTTTAGGGCAAGGAATGTACAGTATACAGTATAGAGTGTATCCGTGTTACTGTCTTTTCAGGAATTCCAAAAGAATGTGCTTTCATACAAATTTATCTGACCTATTTTTGTCTGTTTTTGTACAATGCATGTTATTCCACAGAGTTCATTAATATGACCTCTATTAAAAAAAGTGCAGTAAAATGGGACAGTGACTCACACTGAAATGGCTACAGACGGTAAACATCAGAAATCCATGTTTTTCATGACATGAAGAACAAGCTTCCCTACACAAGATTTCTAAACCATTCAAAATATTCCTGTCTGTCTGTTATATCGGCAGGGCTACACATGATATAATTACACTTTATCCTTGGAATGGGTTTCAATCTGCCCGAAACGGCAAAAAAAGAAATTCAAACAAGCATAAAAGACATTTAATCGTCACCGCCAAATATGTAAAGAGTTCAAGTAAAAATTAGTAAGAAATGGAATTTTTGTATTCAGAGACATGAACAGACATATTTACCGGACAAAAGAGTTCATCTCTGTCCTTCACAACACTTGTCT